TGGGGATGGGTGTACACTCCTACAGCTTGCCCAGGGCTCTGGCTCATGGTGGCGAGTCAACAGCAGCATCACCACCATGAACCTTGTGCTACTCCCGTGCAGAGGAGGCCGACGCTGCCCCCACATCTCAGCTGCTCTCTACATCATCGGAAAGCACAGCCCAAACCCACCTCCATTTGTGGCTGAGGCTAACCTGGTTCCCTGAACAGGGAAGTTGTGGCCTAGTGACACACCGTCTGCCCCCGCCATTGCTGCGGGGTGACAGCTTTTGGCAGGGAGCAGTCTCAGACCCTCCCTGTAAGATTCATTAGGGTTCCTTGGTCTAAGCCGAAGTGGAGAAGCAAGAGCAGTTCTGCTTTCACTCACCACGCTCCTCCCAGTTCCCGACGCCCTTCGCATTTTCCGTGCCTTTTTCCTGGCGATGTGGCAGCATCTTTCCATCTCTGAAAGCAACCGAGAGTTTTTACTGGAGCCTTTTGCGGGGAAGCACAGCTGCTGCAGCCTACAGCACCGTTACCCAAGATAACACAGCCTTCTCAATGCAGCCAAGTGTTGACACCCCGCTGCAGGAGCCAGGCCTATTTCAAGTGGCTTCTTCAGAGGCTGATAAAATCCACCAGAGACCTTAAATTATTTATGCAGGAGAGACCATGAAGCACTACACCCGCAGCAGAGCATTATTACAAGCATGATAATGGGGAGATACTTAGGGAAGCAAAATTTAAACAGCTGATCTCAAATCTGTGATCTCAACCCTCTGTGAGCTGAAACCACAGTCACAAGGGACAAAAAGGATTGTGCCTCTGAAAACCAACTGCAGGCGCAAGAGTTTAGAAACTGCTCCTTAGAAGGCAGAAAGGCCTTCTGTTCCTTATGGTGGATAAGGCAGCTGCCTTATGCATCAGGGTGGCAGAGCCAAAAACCTACTGCAGCACCTGCAAAGTGGCAAAACACTCCCTTTAGGCTCAAATTGCCCGACTTGACACCAGCACGGGGAGGAAGGAACCACATAGGCATGACAGCAGCCAAGGCTGTGGGTCATTTCTGCAAAGCAACCAAAATTCTCCAGATTGCTAATAATTTTTATTTTGTCTTCTTGTTGGCAGGCCTCTAGTCCTCCACCCAGGCCCAAGACCCCCGAAATCCTCAGGTGAGTCGGATGAAGGACCGACAATGCTGCTAACCCATGCAGCCACCTGCCTGTCTGGCAACCAGAACTCAGGGCAGGGTAGGGAATGGATCGTAGAAATGAGGAGGAAGAGGTCTGGGTTCCCCCTACAAAGTAAACCCATGATGGCACCCACCTTCCTGACCCAGCCGCTGCTCCCACACCCAGGGCCCTCGAAGGGCAGCCGCACCGCGTCCTGTACGAGTTCACCCCCGAGACCGCTGAGGAGCTGCAGGTCCTGCCGGGAAACATCGTCTTTGTCCTGAAGAAAGAGAAGGACAACTGGGCTACAGTGATGTTCAATGGGAAGGTACCAGGGGCGTGCTGGGCAGGACGGGGTGGGTGACGGGTGGATGCTGGGAGATGCTTTGGAGAGCAAAGCCTTGCCATCAGTGACCGAGTTCCTAACTTAAGTCCCTGATGTCCACCCTGGCTCAGGCCACAGGGTTCAGCAAAACCTGCCCAACCTGCAGCACGAACCTTCAAGCCTCAGGGACACTCCTGGATTCAGGGCAGGGGGAGGACAAGCTCAGTCACATCCTCCAGCAGCGGGTTACCTTCTTGCCAAACAACCTCCACTCATCTCTCCTTCCCCCACAGAAAGGGATCGTCCCCTGCAACTTCCTTGAGCCCGTGGAGCTCCAGAACAAGCTGCACATCCAGGTGAGGAGGCCCAGAAGGAGATGGTGTCCCAGGGAGGGCAGATCCCCACGCATTCACCCACACCGTATTCTGGATCTTCCAGCAGGATCCATACCTGCCACTCCCTCCCCCCCATAACCCTGGGGTTGGCTCCTCTGGCTCATGGTCACCTTAACGTGAGCTTAGAGACCTGCAAAGTCTGGCCAGATGCTGTGCCAACGGCCCCCCCCGGCTGGTGGTTGGCAATGCCCATAGCAAAGTCACCCCTCCCCCGTTCAAGACCCCAAACAGACCTTGGAAAAATAGCAGGTTGGATGGGGTGGGGTCCACAAGGCAGCAGTGCTCCAGCCACCTCAGGAAGGGTAGGATTGACAGCACTACCTTCTTCCCATCAGGCACAGGAAGAAATCCCTCTTGAAGCCGAGATCCCAGAGCCACCCAGCTCCACCGCCCCCAAGAAGCCCCGGCGGCCAGCACCAGGTCAGCGAGGGGGACGGGGGTGCCTCAGGGGCGAAATACCGGCAGCAGGTTTGAGACTGTCGAGACCAGGGCTAGAGCTCATCTCCTTCCTGCACCCGTTTGCAGTCAAGGATGGAGAGGCATTAACACGGGAGGAAACATGGCAACTGCAGTGCTGAGGATGGAGTCAAACGGAGCGTGTGGGCCCCTGAGGCAAACAAACCCTCTGTACTCTTAATTAGCAGAGCAACTAATGGGAAAAGGGCTCGGGGATGAGAATGGGGCAAATGACCCAGCTTGTCCAAGTGCCTTCTCCTTCGAGCAGGGCGCTGCGTTGGTTTTAGTTTCGCCAGGAGCTGGGCTAGGCTTGAAGGAGCTGCGGTTGGCCTGGGAGGGGGACTGCTGGCTGATGCTACCCAGCGTCCCAGGCCTGGGGCAGGGACGGCAGCACCAGGGCCACCACACTGCCCCAGCACAGCCGGTTCGGGGTGCTGGAAAGCTGCCTGCAGGCATGCTGCCGCAAGAGTGCTCGGGCGCACAGCCCGAACTCGGGGTTTAAAGCTGGGGAGCGCGTGTGTTTCCGCAAACGAGGAGCCGGGAGGAAGCAGTGCGAGTTGCCTGCTCCAGAAAACATCACGCAGCGCTCGGAGGTAGGAGCCCGTGGCTGAGCTGCGAGCTCCATGCCGCTGCAGGAAAACCCACCTGGGGTAGAAAATACCTCCATGGAGAGACTGTACCGCACAGGCATTAGCCTGCTGCAGTTTATCTGATGGCCAACCTGCCAAAAAAGAAAAAAAAAAAGAATATTTGGACAAGCAATTGGCAAGCCCTATGGTCTGAGGTGGGCCTGGGCCAGTTGGCGGTGGGGAAAGGTGGACCAAAAGGCAGTTACTGAGAGGACAGGACAGTGTCCCAGCCAGAGCGGCCTTGCAGGCAGGCAGTGCAGTGGTGACGTTGATACAGAAGACGGCTGTGGCTCACAGGAGTTAACCACAAACATCTCAGGGACCCAGCAACCTCAGAGAGTGCCTTTATGGTACCACAAGCCATCGCAGGTCTAGCAGCGGGAACCTATTCAACAGCGTAGCTCTGTCTCTCCCCATGACGAGCACAGCCATGCCAAAGCACTGAGAAAAGCGCACCCTGTGAAGAGGCCGACGTGAAATCACCTGACCTGGAGGTCTGAATTTAGCCTGACAACCCCGGTGAAGGACAGGGATTGCCTCCAGTTTTCAGACCTAAGGATCTCAGAGGAGCAAAGACACTAAAACCATCAACTCACATATTTACTTAAGGGTTGGTTTTTTTTTTTTAAATTTCACCCAAGAAAGACACCCCACCCCTAAAGCACCCATCCTTGCAAGAGGGAAGGCAGAGCCCAAACCTCTGCTCAGGGGTTATAGCTAAGTGTTACGGATGAACCCCATCGCAGCTGACGCTGTGTCCATTCGAGGGAGCACCAGGGGCTCCAGGGCTGGCTGCTGTTCCTGCAGACCATGACGGGTGTCGAGAAGGGCTGCAGGAGATCTGAACATGTGTTTAGGCACAGAGCAGCAATGCTTAGCCCATCCTGCTTGCTGAGCTGCCTCTTTCTTCCTCTACAGACTACGCTCCTGCTACGGCCACACAGCCCAGAGACACAGCAAAGGTAACAGCTTGTGAATGCAGCCCCCGAGGTCCTGTTGGTGTCACAAACCCGCATTCACCGCGCATTGAAAGGTGCCGGCATGCCTGGCAAGCACCAGGGCCCTGGAAACGTATCAGGTTTTCACCATTCATCGTTTGGAGTTTCTCCAAAGCATGATGTCAGGGCTAGGGGCCAGCAGGTCACCAGGACCCAACCAGGTGATATGGGCTGCTTTTTGAGTTCTTGAGGTCCATGCCCTATCAAACAGGGCCTTTGGCTGACCTGCAGCACTTGAGAAGGGAGAAATAGGGTGCACACGCTCCAGGGCAGGGTCAGCGCAGCAGAAGGGAAAGACAGGAAAACACAACAATCCCAACTCAAAAAAGAGGGGATCAGAGGGTAAACACACCTCGAATCTGGTCACTTGAAAGCCACAATTCTGTTCCTAAGTGCCTAATCTACTACTGCGCTCTCTCCTGGGACAAGCCCAGTGCTGCCAAGCAGCTGCACATCCAGCCACAGCCTGGGCATCACGACCACTGACCTGCCCTGAGGGAAGCGCCACAGGCTGCCCTCACTAGCAGAGATGTCTCTCCAGCACCCAGCTGATGCCCCGCAGCCCAGATTTGACTCAGGCTGAACTGCAGTTTCCCATCCTGGTCCCTCTCCCAGTTCTCACCAAGTTTACCACCCGCAGGAGGCCGAAGCAGATGTCTCCAGCTCCCACGTCCTCAAGGTACATTACAAATACACGGTTGCCCTGCAAGTTGAGCCAGGCCATTCCTACACAGAGCTCCTGGACCTGGTGTGCAAGAAACTGGAGCTGCAGCCTGAGCACACACACCTGAGGTGAGGCGCTGCCCGCTGCAGGAGTCAGAGCCCACTTTTCAGGACGCCCACCCTCACTCCGCGTCCTCTGCGCACCCAGGTACAGGCCTGCGGAGAGCCAAGCACTGGTGACTCTGAGCGTGGAGAACCTGGAGGCAGCTTGGAGCCAGAGCAAGGACAACTGTCTGACGGTCTGGTGCGACATCACGGAGGTCAGTGACAGCTACCGGTGCCAGCCACTTCTGCCGCTCCTGACCAGGCACCCGAGCAGACCCTGCCTTGGCTCTCCTTGCCGTGAGCGTAGGCTGGTGGTTTTCAAAGCAAACCAGCGACCTCTGGGAATCCAGAGGAGCAAAGAGGATAAGCAGAGCTTGTCTCTGTTACCCTGGTACAAAGAAAAAGGAAAAGCCAAAAGGTGTCCTTACCTGCTTATTTCCTGCCCTAGGGAGAGGGGTTTTTAGCGGACAGCAAACCAGAGGAGTCGCCGCAGGAGGCAACGCCAGAGGAGCCGGGACCAACCCAAGTTGTAGCGCAGTACAATTACGAAGCCACCCAGCCCGAAGACCTGGAGTTTCAGGCAGGAGATGTGATACTCATTTTATCCAAAGGTAATCGTGCTCCTTCTGTGATAGTGGAGGGGAGGGACATTATGGGCTCCCAACATCTGCCAGGCAGGCCAAAACCTCTCAGGTATTTGGTCAGACAGTGGACACAACACATGCTTCAGCGGAGCCTACGAGCTTCACTAAGGACTTGGATCTCTTTTCCCAAGTCCTCCAGGGTGAGCCGGTTCATGCTGGGGACCTGCCGAGCAAGAGGCTGCTCAGGCAGCCTTCACTGACAGCAAACTTGTCCTGCAGGCTGCAGTTTGCCACCCTTCCATGGAAAGCAGGCTGCTCAGACTCCTGCCGCAGGACACTGAGAAAGCTTGCACTGAACACCAACACTTTACAGGACAGGTTAGAAAAGCAGCTTGCAGAGATTGCATGAGCGCCAGGCGGAAGCCAGGCGAAAAAGACAACCTAAGGACACGTGTAAGAGTTGCTTTCCTTCACATCGCTAAGGGCTGTGTCACTGAGCTTCCAGTTCCCAGATTCACGGTGCAAATTTGCTCCATCCCCATGAAAGACAGAAAAAAGAAATCTGACCTACTGAGATGTTCCCAGCCTCGGCTCTGCACGCTCCCGATGGAAGACAGAGTTTCCAGCTTACCGGCCAATTCTCTGGAGCCACCAGACAGGACCTAAAGTCTGCAAGATTGCCTTGTACACATGCCTTCTTCCACAACTGCCTTGTCAGCCCTGCCACGGGCTTCCCACACATGCTTCTTCCAGGGTATTTTCTCTACACTCATCTGCCACCCCCTTCCCCAAATGCTGGCAAGGTGGGAGTTTCACTTGAGCTGTGTTTAAGTTGACTGATGGCAGTCTGTTTTTTAAAGGAGATGTCTCATGTTGGCCACCACACCATGCCTCACGTTATGAGCGAGGGCAGTAACATGCCAGAATGCTGTTTCTCCCATTCCTCTCACCTGGCACCTTTTTCTGGCTGGTTTCCTTTTTAAATATACAATCCTCCATAAGCCTCAATCCTCTTTCATACCAGTCTTTACTGCTTTTATGAGGATGGAGGCTGAAATACAGATGAGATCTCAGCAAGATCTACTACATGTTCTTGAGTTGGATCCTCTCAAGCCTGTGCAGAAGGCACAGTGGGGAGGACAGGGTTACTGTGCTCCAGCAAAGCTGCAGGTGAGCCCGCATCAGGTGAAGAATTAGGTACAGGCCCTGCACAGGGCATCTGTCTTCCTCCTCAGCTGAGCCTCTGAGGGAAACCAAGGCATCAGAAATCATTTTAAAGGCAAAAAAACCCCACAAAGCTTTAAGATAAACACAGAACAGCAGGTGAAACTACACTTCAGTGGCAGTTTAGTTGGTCTCTTGCAGAACACAGCCCAAGGTCTTAGATGTTTCTCTCCACACTCACTTTGTTTCCACTGTCTTGTACTCCAGGCATTTGCTGAGCCCCTGGTCTCAGTTTGGATCTACTTTTCTCACCTGCGTTTGGCAGCATATTCTTTCATACCGTACGACTTCACTCTATACCTCAGTCTCCCCTCAATCCCTTCCTCCACATTCCTCTCTTCCAGGCTTTACGTAGCTGTTTATCAGCAGAAAGCCTTACAAAGGTGATCTCGGGCCTGCCTGTAGCACATGGAGGTTATGCTCCTGCACATCCCTGGGGGGAGGTGTGACAAAATTGGTGTCAATTTTTATCTTCCAGTGAATGAAGACTGGTTAGAAGGCCAGTGCAATGGGAAGATCGGCATCTTCCCATCCGCTTTCGTTCAGCAGTCTTAATGCCAAAGACCCAAAGATGTCAGTTCAGAAGTACTTAAGGAGTGGTGGAAAGAAATCAAGAATTCAACTGTTGCAATAAATAAGTTTCCATATTAATCACAGCATCCGAAAACAGACTGAAGATATGGCTGCCACTTGCATTAAAAGCTTTATTTTTTATTTTACCTTTTGCATTGTTCTCTAAAACCCACCTACGCTCACCAAGAGACTTTGCTCTGTCCCACCGACCCCATCCTTACCAAGCTTTTATACAGACATGCCAGCAGCTGGCAAAACCCATGGAAGGGTGGTGCCAGTTGCATTTACAAGCCCTGCCAAGAGATCCAGAAGAGGAACTGCCATTCAGGAAGCTGCAGACCAGGAAAGGCGCTGTGTTTTCGACAACATGCACTTCCTTAAAACATTAGTGGCAACCCCAAGGGCTTAAGAGACACCATGCAGGCTCACCTTGCTCCAATTGACAGTTCACTTCAAAACCCCCCAACAATAAAAATACTTCTTTTTCCCCACCTTTGAGGGCCGTATCTCTCAGCTTCTTCTCAGCAGTCAAAAGATTGACAGTAACTTAGAAAGACACTGCCTGGAATCTCAGCAGCAAAGCCCTTTCCTGTGTAAAAGCCTACACAACTCTGACGCCCTCTACCCTACCCAATCCAAGGGTCCAGCATCCTGATTTACAGGCAGGTCAACAGCAGAAGGATCTGTCTCCTCCAGCTCCCATTACCTGTGCTCTACCAGGTAGATGTAACTCCAGCCTGTGACTGAAGAAAAGCTTTGCCAGCTACTCCGGTCCCAGATTTTTTGGTTCGGTACGTAAAACACATTGCACACAGGCAGCGCAAAGCCACAATTAGTTGGGCTGAGCCCAAGCCAGAATCTCTGTGATTTATTTAGTTCCCTTTCAAATCCAAAATAAAAGTCAACTTCAAACCTTCTTCTGACTTCTCCAGAAAAATAACAGGTTTTTAGAAGCCCGCAGGTGAGTTACACAGGAAATAAATGTGAGACCCAGGCCTGGATGGAGAGAACATGGTTTAATTAAAGGCAAAGCTGATTTCAGCAGCTGCAGTTCTTGCACAGACAGACAAAAAACACAAAAAAAGCTTACGACACAAACCAGTTTCTGTTGGGGGCCCCTTCCCTCGCTCCCCCAGGCTTCGGGGGGCAGGAGGGGAGTCCCAGCCGAGAGTCAGAGGCATTCCCAAGGCCGGATGCTCATGCACAAGTGGAGCAGTGCGGCTGGGACCTCACTGCCGGGAGCAAGATGGCAAACCTGGTTAGCTCGTCTGGGGTGCAAGAGTCAGCGACGGTTCAAACACTGGAATGTCGCAGCTGCCCGGGGGCACAGCTTGATACACAAACCGGGAGGGCTGGAGGGCCAGGGGGTTTGGTTCATACTACCACTGGGTGGGAGCGTCACCTTTTGGACTTTTGAAAGGAAATACAGCTTCGAAATGCAACAAAGAACAGTGATGTTGCTAAGGTAGAGATTGTGGGGGAGCTGTTCGTACCCCCGGGCGGGGAGGGTATCGTGTCTCCTCCGTCTTCCCTTTTTGTATTCTCTGGGGCTGCCCAGACTCCAGCGTCACTTCGGCTCCTGCATGTGCTTTGCTCTGCAGCCGACTTCCAGCTCAGAGATCCTGGATCATCGCACAAACCCCTACTGCTAAACACGGCAAGCGGACATTGAGATTGTTTCCATAACTTCCCTGGGAAACCTAACAGAAATGCTGTCCTTTTCTTTGACGAAGCTTCCAGTCTTCCTTTCCCCTAATAAATAGCAAATAAAATGTTTTCCTTTTCCCTTCTGCACCTTTTCATCTATGAACAGCACTATGCTTTCTTCCGTGCGTGGGTTACACACGTGTGTCCATGGGTGCCTTGAATTTCATTCCGGAACTGAAAGTTCGGGGCTGCAGCTGGGGGTGGGGGGGCTGGGTTTCTGCAGAACTGGCGCCTGTGGGGTGCATACACTCCGTGCTGTCCAGGCCAACTGTTGGCTTTACCCAGCCCTGCTGGACCCCTGATTATTTTCTGCGAGATGTTGCATGTTGGTAATGAAACTACTAGCGTCCAGCGAAGATGGGAGGATGGAGAGAGAAAGAAAGAAAAAAAACTCCAACAAAAACCATTGAAAGCTTCCTACCTACCTATTAAAATAAGTCAGGCTGTGAACGCACAGGCTAGCCTGCCCTTTGCAGGGCTAGCCACTACGCTACAGAAAAATGTACAGGAATCAAACATTAATTTAAAACCCCATAGCAGTTAACTTGCTTTTCCAGCAGAGTGCTGCAACCCCCCACGTCACCAATTATAGCTCACACACCTACTGAGAGGAGGGCATTTCATGCTGGAGTCTCTAACCCGCCTGCCAGCTGGCCAAAGCCTTTGGGTGAAAGGTGAAGTGGTGTCAAGTGCCAGACTCTCCTTCATGAAACTCCTTCGCTAGCCCAGAGAGAGCCCCACCTCGCCACCAACCACCTCTGACCGGAGCAGCAACTGGGGCTTTCATTGCTACACACTGACTACAAAGCACGTCTGTGTACGTAAGAATTCAGTGTGATCTTACTACTGAGATAGTAATAAAGATGTTTAGGAGTAATTTCAACTACATTCTCAGTCAGCAAAGCAATCATTAATGGATTCCTATTTGACATCCCCAAAGTGAGGAAAAGGATTGAGAAGTTCTCATTGGCTTCTCCCATCTGCCCTTCATTCTCGGCTTTTACTTCCCACGTGGCTGGGGACATGCACGATGGAGAAGGTGAGAGGCGGTGATACCGGGTTACTGAGCGAGACAAACAGCAGTTCCCCTCTCCCTCTGGAGGCCCCAGGGATGGGAGGATTCCTGATGTTGTTTTCTTGCACTGCGGACGTTTTGTGCACACTCAGTGGGTTGGTGGAGCACTTATGCCCTCCTGACAGCAAGGAACAGAAGAGAGGGCTGCCACCTGCACGGGACTGTATGGGCCAGTCCTGCAAACCCAACATGCCATGGTTTATGGAGCCTTCGTTTGCAAGGGTTGCCACCTCTGTCTCAATGCGGCGGGTTCATGGCGCCTTGTCCGCGTTGCTGCTTCTGCTTCTGCTGCATTAACAGCTGCTCCAGGGCTGAGGGGCCAGGGTGCATCATGGAGCTGGACCAGATGGACTAAAAACAAACAGCCAACACTGCATCAGGCAGCCCCCCTCTTACAGATGAGAAAGCTGAGACAGTTTGCTATGTCCTCCCTCTTCTCTCATACCTGGCTTATCACAAGAGTTATCCAGACTTCAAAGGTGGCCCAAAAGAGGGCCTCCCTGGAAGCAGCTTATCCTCCTCCAGAATCCTCATTACCATAAAAATTCATCCCACGTTAACAGTTACTAATTTTAGACTAGTCAAAGCAAACGTTACAATTTCTTCCAGCTCTGCCAGCCTGGTCTTGTTCCGCAAAATATTCTAGAACAGCAAGAACTGGAAAACGGTGACATCTTCCAGCACCAGTGACACCTCCCACATTGCCCACGTAAGTGAATCTGCAGGAAGAACCTTCGGTTTCTGAGACTGAGCTCTGACGCTCGCAACAGGCCAACACCCATCACCAGATCTTCTGGCCCCATAGACCATTCCTGAGCAGTTTCAGTCAAACATACCTTCAGGCTCTCCATAAGCACAGCTGAGGAGTCCTCCATGGCGGGAGGGCCTTGGGCTGCCCAGGTGCCACTAGGAGCACTGGACTGGTGCCAGCTGCTCTCCGACGATGACGACGTTGCTGGGAGATAGTCCAGACCAAACCCACCCATTGCTAAAACGGGAGAAAGACAAGTTCAAAAGAACGTAGCAAAATCACTGCCAAGTGAGCGTCATCAGCTGGCTTCACGCAGCCTGGAACCTGGCACTTGCCTGGCTTATCTGTTTTCCAGCGGTCCGCGACCCTCCTGTCTCTGTTGTCTGGAGTCCCAATGGGTCCGAAGTTGGAGAAGGGAACAGAATTGTGGTTATGGGTTGGAGGGGAGCTTGGCAAGCTGCTGGGGTTGGAGGAGTGCGGAGACTGGCTGGCTGGTGTCGAATGATCTAGTGATTACAAGGCAAGAGGGAAAAGGTCAATGGAAACAGGAGTCTCCCACTTTTGAATTTTAGTGATGCTGGAAATTCTGCCATCACCCAGTTTTCTCCAGTGCTGAAGGTCAGTTTTTATTCCCTCCATTACACAAGCATAGGGCAAATTCCTAAGTTCTGAGTGAAATTTTTTGTGCATGTACAACAACAGAATGACTCTGCTTAATGCATACGTATGTTTACCAGAAACACCAAAAATCAGGAAACCTCAAGAGGGCTGGCTAGCCAGTGTGAGTTTTCCCCACGTTTCTCGAAGAACTTCTCAAAACTAAAAAAAAAAAAGTCTAAGCTTGACAAACCAAAAATCTCAACCCATGCAGAAGTTATTTGAAATCCACTCATTTCTGAGGTTCAACTAATTCATCCCCTCATCCTCTTCTGGATTTTTAGTGAGAATAAATTCATGACCCAATAGTAATTACCCAAAACATATAAAATATACCTAAGGAAAAAGGGGGTTTGTTTTGTAGGCTGCTTAACAGTAAAAAAAAAAAGTCACCACCACCAAAACACCCAACCCCCAAAGAACCCCACTGTTGTATTTTCCTCCACACTCTTCACTCATATAGTTTCTTTCTCTTTCAAGTATCTACATTATAAAATCCAGTTCCTCCTGCTTTTTCCAAAGCAGCAACACAAAGTATACGGATGTTGGAGTTAAAGCCCTACTCCCAGATTCTTGTCAGGTATCTATATTAGGTATTTCAGGGTTTAACAACCCCTACAACTTTTATCCTGCTCAACTACTTCAGTTAAAACCCATGTTCTTACACTATATTAATTACAGAATGCCCTCATATTTCTGAGGGCATATAAAGAAAACCAAACAGAAACCTTCAGGGACCTTGTCAAGCAGGTATTTTTTAAAATTTCTAGTTACATTTAACTTGCAGTAGGT